TAAAAAACTTAAATTATTAAAAAATAATAAATCTTACATATTTTAATAATATATATCTTACAATATTTTTTAAATTTTAATTAATAATTAATAAAATGTATTATATTTTATCCATAATATTTTTAAGAAACGAATAACTAAATTTCAAAATAATTTTTAGTTATAGTTACAGTATAGTACAATTCAACATAATTATAATTACAGTACAACACAATTCAACATAACCATAATTACAGTCACAACACTTTATAATAATTTCGAACACACCCTTAGTTACAAACATTTGGAGTGGGTCTTCGTCAACTATCCTTAAAAAAGGTGGAGTCTTTTCCATTTTTGTGAATAAAGTTTTTTTGTTAATGAGTTTATCTAATTTGTACTTTTAAATATAAATTTAAAATGCATTAAATATATTTTTCTATTATAAATTTATATTAAAAAAATAAAATTAATTTTTAATTTATTAATTATTTAATTAATTTTATCTATTTGATACTGATATTAAAATTAATATCAATTTTTTTATTTTTTTATATACATTTATAATAAAACAAAGTACTATTAACTTATATTTTAAGTGTATAAATTAAAAAAACTCTTTGTAAATACGATTAATAAGTTAAAGACCTAAATACGATTAATAAGTTAAAGACCTAAGTCATCTTAATTAAAGAAAAAAAGTGATCAAGTTTTGAAGTTGAGGATGAGAAGCTACTCCAACTACAAAAAGTTGAACATTAATGTCGATCACATTAAACCCTGTAGCAAATTTATTAGCACCTTTGTTCCCTTAACTATTTTCAAAAACCCACAAGCATTCAATGTCATATACAGAACTCACGTAGAAAGAAGCACTTCAATTCAGTAATTCTTCCCCCACTTTATAACCCCATCTTCCTTAGAACCCTCAAAGCCTTGAAATCTCCTGTGACCTCTGAGGCCGTCTCCGGCCACATTCATGTGAACCTCCCTTATCCCCTGTGATTTGGCTTCAATGTACCATTCTCTTATGGTCGGCTGCCCCTTAAATATTCATCTCCTTCCCCGTTTTTCCCTTGCACCACAACTTTCATCTCCATTCATCTTCTTCAAAAAAGCTTGTTCAACAGAGGAAAAGCAAACATCGGTCCTTAAAATTGAAGTGATGACGTGTTCTAATTTTGTTTTTGTTGCAGCTGTTTTCATCGTTCTCTTCTTTCGTCCGGCTTCCATCTCTGCCGCCCGACACCTCAACCCGCCAACAGGTACAAAATTTAAATTAATTGACAGCTACGAACCATGCATTTCCTTTTCTAACAACTTATTGAATATGAAAGACTGTTGTCCCTGAATGCTGGGTTTTGTTCTCATCTGATTATCCTATCCTAGCTACTTTTGCAGTATAGATTAAACAATCACAACCTCCATTGCACGTCTCGTAATTGAAGAGTTTATTGTTAACAACATTGAAGTTAATTTATATGTAACTCGGTGCTAGTTGAAATTAAAAGTAATCAGTTTGAACTGAAAAACACATTTTTGAATTTAGCATAATATGAATTTTAAACACACCACTCAATTTATTGCTTCTGCAATAGCACTAATTACATTTGTATTTTAACGTGGCAGGCAATCACAACCAGCCTACCAAGGCAGAGGAAACAGTTGCAAACCCAAATTTATACCCGGAAAGATGGGCGACGGTGAAGAGAAAGGGAGCAGATCCACTTCAAATTGCAGGGTCAAGCTTACCAGACTGCTCTCATGCATGTGGCTCTTGCTCGCCATGCAGGCTAGTCATGGTCAGCTTCGTGTGCGCGTCGCTCGAAGAGGCGGAAACGTGCCCCATGGCTTACAAGTGCATGTGTAACAACAAGTCTTATCCTGTTCCATGATCTTAAGTATCTCTTTCAATTTTCGGTTGTGCCGTATATAGCTGTAAGAACCTGCCTGGTCCCAGTTTTCCTAGCCCTTTTTTTTTTTTCAGCCCCAGTTTTCCTAGTGTTAAGGCTTGGGGTTTCTTTTTCGTGTAATCAATATAGTTTTCAATTACAGTTTCTTTTGATCCTTATGTTTGGCTTTTTCTTTCCACTTAATTGAAGAGATGATAGTTGTACAAATTACAAACGCCCTCGGGTAATTTTTAATAGTTTTAATTTGATTATTTAATTTTTTTAGGCATAAATTTTAAACAAAAATTTAATAAATTATATAAATAATAATTAAAAATATTTTTATATAAAATTCTTACTGAGTATTTTTATTTGATAAAAAAAATTTTAATTATCGTTTATATAATATATTAAATTATCATCTAAACTCATTTTCTAATTAATTTTTTAAAAACTAACTATTAGATTAATAGTTCTATTTTTATAAATAATGTATATCAATTTTTAGATAAATTTAGTAAATCTAACTAGTTCGTTGATTATCTAAAATTTAATATTATTAAATATATATTACTAAGGGAAAAAAAAAATCAGAACATCTTACCATTAAAAATATTAAGATATTCAATAATAGTTATATGATAAATTTAATAAAATTAAAACTCAAATTATATCTCATATATTTAATGATCGTGATTGGACATTTTAACATTTTTAATAACAAGACGTCCATATTCTCATGGCAGTGGATAAAATATCTTTGATAAAAAAGTTATAAATATTAAAGCAATAGACAAATTAATATACAAATAAAATTTTCAATTTAATGATTGGTTTTAAAAATATCAATTAAAATGTGAGCTTTTAGACAAATCTCTAAAAAATTTTAGACGAATTACCTATATTATACTAAAGGTGTGTGTGGTACTGTGATTAGGGCTTTTTTTTTGTAAGTATACAATACTTTTAGATATATATGTGTTTGGTGATTTTTTCTTGGATTTCTTCTTCCAAAAGTTAAAAAAAAAAAAAGGGTTATAACAGATTTACAGTAATTTTATATATAAAACTAGAAATCTTATTTTTAAACTTTCTAACTGTGCTTTCACAGATAATACTTAATATTTAATATAATTCCAAAATTATCTATTAAAACCTAACTTTATTTAATTTAATTACACCACAATTTATAATATTTTATTTAAACCTAATCTCTTATTTATTTAAAACTTTTATAAAAATTAAAAACTCATTTATTCCTTATGAACTCCTCTCCAACAAAATCCCAAAAAATATTTATCATATAAAACTTAAAAAGCTTAAATTATTAAACTAATAGGCTTTAGCTTTTGATGTATAGCATAATCAGGATTCAACAAATAGCTTTCATCAATGGTTGATTATTGGTGGATGGGGTCCTTGTGGCCAATGAGCTAATTGATGAAGCAAAGAGAGGGAGGAAAAGTAGCTTTGTACTCAAAATTGATTTTGAGAAGGTTTTTGATAAAGTTTGTCGGAGCTTCCTAGATTACATGATGGGAAGAATGGGGTTTGAAGAGAAATGACATTGTTGGATCAAAGAATGCCTATCTACAAACCAGGTTTCAATTTTAATTAATGGAAGTGCTTCTAGACAATTCCCAATTAGTAGAAGACTTAGACAGGATGATCCACTGTCACTTTTTTTATTCCTCATAGTGGTTGAAGCTCTAAATGGACTCATCAACATTGTAGTGGATAAAGGGCTACTAGAAGGGATTGAGATTGGTTGCCAAGGACTAAAAGTCACCCACCTTCAATTTGCAGATGATACTCTTATATGTGGGAAAGCCTTGGAGAACAACATATGGGTAGTGAAATGCATCCTAAGGTCATTTGAAATAGTCTTGGGCTTGAAAATCAATTATAGGAAGAGCCAGTTAATGGGGATTCACATAAGTGAAGCTTGGTTAACAAAAATGGGCTAATTAGTGAACTGCAAATTGGGATCTATGCCATTCAAGTACATGGGAATTCAGATTGGAGGCAACTAAAGAAAATTGCCCTTTTGGGTTAATCTGGTTGAAAAATTCAAAAAGAAACTACAATCTTGGAAATGTTGGTTCCTATCCTTTGGTGGATGCCTTACCTTGCTTAATTTTGTGCTGTCTAGTTTGTTTATCTTCCTCATGTCGTTCTACTTGCTTTCGAAAGGTATTATCCATACACTTGAAAAACTTAGATGTGATTTTTATTGAGCGTGGGCAGGGGGGGCAAGGAAGACAAACAAGTAATTAATTGGGTAAAGTGGGATAGTGTATGCAAAAGCGAACTAGATGGGGGACTAGGTGTAAGGGATCTAAGATGGTTCAACTTACCTCTACTGGGGAAGTGGTGGGGAACATTAGCCTTAAGGGAACAAAGCTTGTGGTGTAAAATCTTACAGGAGATATATGGAACTAAAGGCACTAATTGGTGGAGTTGGCTAAGGATAAAGGTTCTTTATCGATGAAGCGGAAGGAGTTAACAGGAAGTGGCTTAAAGAAGGGTTCACTTTCAATTTAGGGGAAGAAGATATTGTGCAATTTTGGCTAGACGATTGGGCGGGTTGTGAGACTTTAGCTGATAAATTTCTTAGACTGTTTTCACTTTCTATAGGGCAACACCATCTAGTCAACCAAATGGGGTGTTGGCTCAACAATTCTTGGTCTTGGGCACTTCCATGGAGAAGAACACTTTTATAGAGAGAAGAAGAATAGGTGAAGGATCTCATGTCAAAGTTGGAGGGGATGATGTTAAAGCAAGGAAACCAAGATGCTTGGAGATGGAAGCATAGCTCTGATGGCAAGTATATTGCAAGAAAGGGATACTCCCTTCTGGAAAACCAACGAAAAACAATGGACTCCATAATCTACACAAGAATCTGGAATCATGTTGTCCCTACAAAAGTTTGTGCTTTCACTTGGAAATTATTACAAGACAGAATTCCCACCAAGTTCAATTTATTTAAGCGAGCGGTGATTAAAGATCAAACTGAATTGGAGTGTGCTCTTTTTCACAAGGCAATTGAAGACTCCAACCGTCTCTTCTTGCACTATAAGTTGGCTTCCAAGTTATGGTCACAATGCTTTAGCTAGTGGGGCATCTCCAACGTTATGCCAAGTCACTGTTATGATGCATTTATACAACATGGAGCACTTTTTAGAACTACACTAGGAATTGATGGGTGGGATATCATATGGTTTGTGGTAATTTGGACATTATGGTTAACTAGAGATGAAACAATATTCCAACACAAAATCATAGACATTGGGAAATTATTTGATTTAGTACAAGCATGATCATTTCAATGGATCAAAGGTAGTGGGAGCTAGCAAGGCATTTCCTTTACTAACTGGAGACAACAACCTAGACTATGTAGTAAAACGATGCTCACACAAGGCACTAAATGATGTTCTTCTCTAAGTAGCCATTGGAAAGGAACACAAGAAACATTATATAGGTCTAAGTGAATAAATCACCCTTGTATGTATGTTAGGGTTTGGGTACCCCTTGTACTCCGTAATAATAAAATTATATTCTGCTGTTAAAATTTTTTTTAATAATAATATATCATACAATATTTTTAAAATTTTAATTAATAATTAATAAAATTTATCATATATCATGAATAGTACTTTTAAAAGATCAATAACTCAATATTAAAATAACCTTCAGTTAATATTTCACGTTAATTTTAAAGAAAATGATTTGTGCACACCCGGATTCAACACTCAAGTATGCACACTCCACATAAAAAAAAAATGGAGAACACCCGGTTTTTTTTTTTTTTTTTTTTTTGTGGAGTGTGCACCAATCATGGTCCTAATTTTAAATAGACCCCAACCCACCTATAAAACCTGTAAACTATTAAGAAACACGTTCTTTTTTTTTTTTTGTCAAACTTTTGCAATAAATCTTGAATGAGAATGAGGCGGTCCCTCATTCAAGTTTTTCCTAGTTTTGAAATTCACATCGCAAAAATGCAAACTCTTCAAAAACTTTATGTAAGTGTTGTTATTAAGGGTTCTTAACGAACGGGTATGCTTGAGACCGTTTGGGTTTGACTCGATCAAAACTCGAGATTCAGCCCATTAATCTGGTCCTTAGCATGGGACCGAGCAAGATCGCCAGTAATGGGTTGGTCTTAAACATTGGGCCTGAGACTAGAGATCGGGTCGGCTCTAGCTTGTTTGCAAAAAAAAAAAAAAAAAATGCATTGTAAAGTTCAATTATTTCCTACATAATTAGGGGTTGATCACTTCAATTATTTCCTACAGAATGAGTTGTTGTTCAATTACCCTTGCACACAGACTGCACAATTGAAAGTTCTTCGATCATTGGGTTCCTATGTAGTCAACAAAACATTAGCTACTGCTCCCCTCCTTCCATGTTCTTCCTCTGCTTCCCTCTTTTTCTTATTTTTCATATTTTTGTTTGTTTTAGGTTTCCATGCAAAGGTTTTTTTGTCTCTCCTCAAGGTTGGTTGTTTTAGAACTTCGCCTTTCTAAGCATGGTTCTATGTAGATTTTATAGTTATTTTATAATGGGAAAGGTTTAAAGGAAGAGATGTTGTTGGTTAATTATGTTGACTTTAAAAATGCTTTTAACTACAAACCATTTCAACAGCTACCTTTTCATCTTTTAATCATAGTGGATTATGCTAATTTATAGCATTATTATAAGATCAAAAACTAGGTTCAACTATAATATTCATGTTATTATTAGATATCTCTATTATTTTGTGCTTAATTTACGCTTGATGCACATTTTGAAACTAATCCCTTTTTGATTTGGTTAAAAGTAAGCCATTTACATTAAAATCAAGAAATTCATATAAAATTGAATCTTGATTAATAAAATGAGGAGCAAATTATTTTATTAATTAAACCACAACTTTTAGATAACTTTTAACAGATATTTAGTATAGACTTTTCTTTAAAAAAAAAAAAACTTACAAGCGTCCAGTAGACCTAGCAAACAGGTGGGTTGGGTCGGGTGAACTCGAGTGACGGGTTAAACGGGTTGGCTTATAAACGAGTTGCGGGTTGAAAACATCCAACCTTAATCCGACCCTAATGGGTTACGGGTTAATCCGTGGGTTAACCTTATTTTTATTTTTTATAATTATTTTTCATTAATTTTATTATACACAAATAAAATTATATATATCTAAATCTAATTAAAATATTATGATTCATTAACACTAAATACTTTATAATTTCAATTACAAACATTTAAATTAAGAAAAAAATAAAAAAGTTATAAATAATAATAAATTGATTAATAATAAAAATATTAAAGTAAAATATTTAAATTTTTTGAAAAATAAAATTTTAATTTTATAATCATCTTGAAACATTATTAAGTAGTTTAATCCATTTTTTTAATGATGAAATTGCTCTTCCAAGAACATCTTTTACTAAGTTATGTTTATTTCATAACATCACATCTTTTAATATTTTTAGTTGCATTATTATTTCATTCATGATACTTGGGTAATTATTAATACCAAAAAATAATAATAATACTTGGGTAATTAGATCAAATTTATCATAATTTCTTCTTCTTTCTCTAGAAATTAAGGAATATGAATTAATGGAAAAAGTTATCAATAGAAAAATTAATTAAGAATAATAAGTATAATATTTTAAAAAAATAATAAAAAATAAAATAAACGGGTTAACCCGTCAACCTGCGGGTTGATTCTAACCCGACCCGTGACCCCGTAAGGATTGATAATATGGGTTATTTATGAGTTGCGAATCGAGATATATAGACCCTAACCCATTTTTTAAGGGTCGGGTTAAGGTCGAGTTGACAGGTCAAGTGGATTTTTGCCAATTCTATCGTCCAGTGATTTTGGCTTAGTTTAATAAAGTAATTTTTTAGGGTCAAAGAGATATAATTGATTATAATGACTTGTAAGTGATTATATATCTTGGAAGAAAAGCTTCTGAGCTTAACAATTGATTATCATTGATATTGAGGGCATGTTTGGTACAACAGTTAAAATTCAGCGGACAACGAGTAACGGATAGCAAATAGTGGTAGTGGGTGACGATTAGCGGATAGCGGATGGCGGATAGCGGAAGTGGGTAATGGATGGTAAATAGCGGATTCGATAAATATAACTGTTTGGCTATACAATAGTTAGCGGTTGTTGTTCAACATTAAATGAGTAATAAGGACATGTTTAAAAACAAATAAGTGTATTTTTTAAAATATTTTTATTTTTTATTATTAAAATTATTAATTTTATAAAAATAATAAATAAAATTAATTATAATAATGTAATTATACTCTCATTTTTATTTTTAAAAAAGAAAAAATTATATTATTTTTAAATAAAAAATTAATCATTTTGTCTAATTAACAAATTTTGTTTTTTAAAATAATATATTTTTTAATTATAAATTAATGTACAAAAAAATATTATAATCACTTAATATTATTAAAGGTAAAAAAACAAAATTAAAATTTATTAGATAATTATTAATTAAAAAATGTGACCACAAACTAAAAAATTAAAATGGATAAATTTGTCAATAAAATTAAAAAATTTTAATTCGTTACCGGTTTGGTACAAAAAGTTACACAAACTAACTTTTTCAATCCGCTAGCGATTTAGATCCTAACCGCTATCCGCTAATATCAAACCGCTAAATAAAAATTTTACTAAACACTTTAGTTGTAAGGGTTTCGAAATATATAAATTTACCAAACACTTATATTTAACGGTTTAGGTAAAATCGCTAACCGCTACCCCACTATACCAAACGGGCCTGAATGTAGTTGATTACATGGTTTTCAAAGAAAAATAATTATTTATGTTCAATTATAATTAATTATATTATTTTATTAAAATATGTGTCAAGAAAAATTTATTTTCCTTTACTGCAGCTAAATTTTAAAACCTTAACCTCTTCGACTTCTTTTTGTGAAAAAAATCTAAACCAAACACCACACATTATCTTTTTCTATTATGGATGAATAGATTTCCGTTTTATTAAAAAAAAAAAAAAAGCTTTGTGGGGGTCACAGGTGGCACATTTTTGACAAGCCAAACATGCCTTAAGTAAACCCTTTTTGGCGATGGAAATTGGTAGAGGGGAGGCGCCAAATGCTACGATTGAGGCAGCTAATCAGGGAACTGAATGGCATCAATTACCGTGCAACACAGAGAGAACCCAACAACCCAAAAATTGTTTTTCCTTGCAAAATCTACCGATCCACAATGTCATTCTTCTCCTTCCTTGCTTTCTCCTCCTCCCCCTCTTCCTTCCTCCTGTCCCCACCACTTTGCCTCATCGGGTTCAATCTCCATCCATACATCATCAGAACCATCACCAACATTGCCTCCTAACAAATGCAATAGCAGGTGCAGAAAATGACCTTTCTTTTGTTTTTTTAATTTAATGAAAAGTTCAATCTTTCTCTATCTGTGTTTGTGTGTTTGTGAGGATGTGGAATTTTGTCTTGACGTTCGGGTTTTTGAGGTGGAGACACAAAAGCTATGACCTTTTTACATTTTCTCTTTTCATTCTTTCTTTTGCATTGATGGGTATCTGTGTTCATGCTATTATTCCATCTCTCGACCCCTTCTGTGTAGAGAGAAGTGGGGAATCTTGGGGAGTTGAATAATGAGGTTAGAGCATGAGTTAGGTGCAATCATTTCGAATCCATTTATTCAATCTCTCTGGTCCTTTTTGCTGCATTGCCCATTTGCTCTCGGCTAAAAAAGAATGCAAGAATCCAATCTTTAATTTTGGTCCCCTTATGAGATTGAAGAAGCGCCCACAATGCTTTCCTTCTTGATCGTCTCTTTGCAGAGCAATCTCATTCCCTTTTGTTTTCCTTTCTATGGATGTAAATTTCCAACATTGCTGCTGCTGGGGGAAGAATTTGATTAGAAATGCCCATTAGCTCAATATGTTTTTGTTACTAATGTCCTGTAAATGTAATCCTTTAATTGAATCATTTGTTGGTACTGATATTTGATATTGTCTGCTTTGCTGGCTAAAACAAACATTGGTTTTATTTTCTTCGCCATTTTGTAAAGTTTGCAGCTTAGTCTTTCATGCTTACTCAATTAAGGGCCGGAATTTATCTGTTAGGTATTTCTTACTTTTGTTTATCTTAAATGACGGTGGATTTTCCTCTGAGTGCACCACTGGAGCTAATGTTTGTTTCTGTCATTTAAAGATATATTATTTACTGATTAAGGGCTAAATATTATTGATAGCATGCACTGTTGTCAAAATATTTTTCTTCCTGCTTTATTCTACATTAGAATTTTGGTTCTTATCTTCAACCAAATGAAATTATTAAGGCAGTCTTGCATTTTCTGTGTAGTCATTCATGTTATAGAAGTTACTAGCTGGTACTAAAAGGGGTGCATTGAAACTCAATTATAGGTTGATGAGTATGACAGGACAAGGGCAATCAAGAGCTGGAATGGACAGAGAGTTCCACTAACATAATCTCACAGTTGGCTCAATGTTTTAGTGAGTAGATTTTCCTGGTAACTGATTCAGCTCTTCTGTTATGGCTTCATTTCCCCGTACAAGGCTACAATGTTAGTACTTATCTCATTTCCATTCTGTTGTATGTCATATAACCTTCATTTTTTTTCAACTCCTTTTCATCATGACTCATGATGTTGTGTTTAGGAATTCTTAAGTACACAACTCAGTCAGGGATATGAATTTTTTTCCCTATTATTAGGTGATTCTGAAGAAGTAAGAAGTATAGTTCTTAACAAGTATGAACAACATGATCTCTAAAGAGAACATTAGCTGCCTTGGAATCTCGAACTCATGCATTGAAGTCTAGTACAAACCTCATGTATGCCATCAGACACTGAGGTATCAAAATAAAGAGAAAGGCCTTGACCAGGTTTTCTATAGCTTAAAATTAAAAAAAAAAAAAAAAAAGAAAAGTAAAAAGAAGAGATGGGTTACTCATCCCAAGGATTTTGATATCTGATTCTGTACTTGGTTATATGTTGTATATCCCCTATGCACAAAACACAAAAAAACAAAGTTTCTCTGGTTGTTTTGATAGACTAGAAACTGTCAGAATTGTCCATTCCTACTGCTTTTTGTTGGCGTAATTAACTTCCAGATTTTGAGAGTATTTGGTTCTCTAAAAGATGATAATGAATGGTTTAGTGTAAGTGATGAAAGATTTGAAGCTCTGATCTTTTTTTCCTCTATAGTTCTTGATAACTGTTAAATTTGTTGCTATGGCCCTTCATCTCAATATTTAGAGCCTGGAGCAAAGTTAATTATAATTAACTTTTGACTTGTGTGCTAAAATAGGACTGCAATCACCGTAGAACATAATTAATCTATGTTATTCCATTAAGATTACATTCTCTTACAGTCTTATCTGTCAGTCTCTTTTGGTTGTAGCCAGTGCTATGGTTGGATCACAATCACGGATAGGAGGGTTCTTGAGTCGTGTGAGCAATAGACGTAATGAGAGGTTACTTGACTACCCTTTGACTCCTATTCAGGTAAATTGTGACATTATTTGGGCTCATTTTGAACATCTAAGTCTCAGCTTGCATCATTTTTAATTTCATAACAGTGGCATTCATGGAAATGTAATGAAAGAACCAAAACTATGGAGTTGAGATTTCTAGGCTATGCTGAGTTGAACTAAAATCATTTGCTGTTACTTCTTAGTAAATTAGTTAGAAGATATTGTACTGAGAGAGTGGATAGAATTTTCTCTGCATTAGTCCAAATTTCAATTCAGAATTTTTTCTAGGGTTCCATCATGGTAATGTCTTGTAGCACATTTATATTTTCCCATTTCTTGTGCTCTTAAATGATAAAATTGCCATTGCGCCTCACATTTGTTACCAGGAAGAAAGACTTAAAAGGCTTCAGGAACGACTACAAATACCTTTTGATGAAACTCGTCCTGAGCATCAAGTACTTTTCATTCTTGTGATATATTTCTTTCAAACCTTGTCTCCTTTAAACTGGGTTTTCACTTTATGCTAGAAGAACATGGTTATGAATTTCAATCATTTTCCTTGTTTACAATTCATTTTAATTATATTTTACACTACGTAAAATGTTAGATCTGTTGATCTCTCTGTCGTCCTTGACAGGAAGCTTTGAAAGCATTGTGGGACGCTGCCTTTCCTGATACGACTCTGAGAGGGTTGATCTCAGAGCAGTGGAAATCAATGGGGTGGCAGGGTCCTAATCCATCAACTGACTTTAGGTACCACTTCATTGTAAACTCTAGAATTTTTCTTTTCCCACCATTCTTTATTCTTCCTCTACTCTAGCTCTCTTATTACCTTGCTAATAAAAGAGTCCATTTCCCCAAGGATAGGCTTTGTGTTATAAAAAATGGAAATTTTTTGCTTTGTAGGTTGTGATGATTTTTTCCCTATTTAAGCATTCCCCTAATTCTAAGAGTTATTTTTCTAGTATATATGAAAACTCTACTAGAGAATGTAGTTTATAAAATTGCAATTATCTTGCAATTCAGAACAGCTGTATTTATTTCTCATTGTAACTGAGATTGATCCAATCACAAACATATTACACAAAGAAATCATGATATAAGGTGCCTTTGATTGTTTAAAACAGCATTAGTTAATATTTTATCATTCTGCATTTGCTGTAGAACACACAAGGAATAGAATAATATCTTCAAAACTCCCAATGTTATAGATAAAGTTATCTGAAGATTTAAGGGCTTGATAGCGTGACTTATTTGATGGATTATGTTCCTGTCGTATACAACATTTAGATAGGAAAAGCATTTGTCTAATAGTGAACTTCTATCCTTAGGGGTTGTGGTTTTATCTCTCTGGAGAACTTGCTGTTTTTTGCCAGAACTTATCCGGTAACTCTCCCTCCCTCCCTACCTCCCTCCCTCTCTTTTTGCTGTTTTTTGACATAATACTAATTGGATAAAAATACGAAATGAAGGCATCATTTCATAGGTTATTATACAAGCAAGATGGGGAACGAGCAATTTGGGAATACCCATTTGCTGTTGCTGGAATTAATATATCATTTATGTTGATCCAGATGTTGGATTTATATGCAGGTTCGTAGACAGTATCCATTACTTATTATTATCATAATCAATTCTTTTTTCCATCAAATTAAAGTGAATGAAAACAATACTTTTCTATTGTACATTGTATACTTGGCTATAGTGGTTTGACTGTAGGATATTTACCTAGAC